ATGCCACAGGAAATCAGTCCTTTGGAACAATCACTCTGGTATCAGCTGAGGTGTCCACACAGAAAGCCGCAAATCACATTACCACATGAAAAAAAGGATCTCCATAGTGCATAAATCATTACAATGTATTAAATCACAGATTGTGTACTGACATATGAATGAATATACATAGATCTCAAATGGCGCATGCTGATCTGGCCGTGCAAGATAATGTCACTGCCTGGTCTCTGCCACAGGAATGCTTTACCAATCAATCAGGATAACTTACTTATCTGCCCCTGCAGACGTATTCTCCAGAATGCAGGCAATCACCCACAGTACAGTACAAAGTTTCTTCTCAGCTAAAATCTTATAGGAGAGCTAAAGCTTGTGGTTTTAAAAAAAAAAACATTTTTAAGGAAGTTTGTTTTAGGGTTATAGAGTAATTGTATGCAAGAGCATTATACATTTTGTCATAATATAAAACATCATTATGGTTATTATTTTTATTATTATTGTCACTACTTTTATAACTTTCTATGAAAAACACTGATCCTTAATAGTGAAGTTTATTTAGCCATACCTTATGGTACAATCTGTCACATGTATAACACAGGTGACGCTGCCAGCTGCTACAGAGTTGTCTGGGGTGGGCAAGCCCATCAAAAATTTGCTATGGGTCCCCGTAATTCATAGTTATACCTCTGGACCTGCCCCTGTTATATGATAAGCAGTGTGGATCCTCTAACTTCCATGTCACTACTGCAATGATGCTGGGTCAGCTACTTAGCAGTTAAGGGCATCATTTATCCCCAAGTAGAGGAAAACAAACTAGAGCACTGCACTATCAATTATTTAGAGGGCTTCATGCTCTATGTCCTTCTTTCTGTAGTCTGCATCCCTAGGGCACCAAAGCGGTAACTATGGTAACTATAACACCATTTATAAACAAAATGTAAATGAATTGGTGGTGGGCTGGATTTTTAAGAATTTAAGTCATCTATAGAAGGGGTCTTAAAATTTTCAAAATAAAGGGCCAGTTTACTGCCCTTCAAACTTTAGGGGGGGGGCAGACTGTGGCCAGTGGGAGTAGAAAATGCCCTGGTGTTGGTGGTAATAAACAATGCCATGGGCTCAGTGGTCAGTGGGAATAAAAAAATGACTTCATTGCTGTCACTAGGAGGAATGGTGCCCCATCATTGGTGTCAGTTGGTGGAATAGTGCCCCATAACTGGTGTCAGTGGAAGAATTAGTTTCCCCTCTCTGGTATCAGTGAGAGGAATAATACCCCATTGTTGGTGTCAATGGGAAAAATAATGCCTTGCATCAGTGGAAGGAAAGTGCCCCAATTGCCAGATAAAGTAAAGCAAAGGGCCACATCTGGCCCACAGGTTTCAGTTTGGAGACCCCTGATCTGTAGTGACCAACATTTGCCAAATATAGGCCCTTTACAAAGTAAAAATAGGTACAATTTATTCTTCACATCATTCTATAGAAGGTCACGTTAGCATCCGTACAGTTGTTTTCAGTTTGATTTGATAGTAGAATGCTATGGACTGGTTGATGGCTATGGAATTATCCAAGTATTCAACTATATGTGCCATTAATAAGTCATCCAAGGTGGTAGGTAATGCTAAAAAGGTGAAGAGTATGAAAAATGGCCTCATCAGTTGCCCTAACTAGAGCCACCACAAATTGGTTTTGTGTATGTGGATATAACTGGCTTATATTGTATGCAGGACTGACCATTCGAGCACTCAGGCACTGCCTGAGGGCCCGGGGTCAGTAGGGGCCCTATGAAATGCCCCTGGTACCTTTTTTAAGCCTTTTTTGAGTGTGGGCAAGGACACAGGGGCCCCATGACCCCCTATTGCCCGGGGGCCCCATGAGTTTTCAGTCCTTCCCTGATTGTATGCATGATATAGCAAAACATTCAGCATGGACACTAAGGGAACCATTATAACTTGTTCGTGTAAGTAATTATTTTTTTTTTAACCTACAATATATTAATGCCAGTATGCGAGATTTATTGGAGAAGCAGATAAGCTGGCTATTTGTGACAGCTGAGATGTACTATGCTGCTCTTGCAAATAGGAAATTGTTTTGTAGCTAATATTTACAAATGCAATATTATTTTAACTATGGCATACACAATTTCTAGCAACATATCTACGTTTGTGCCTTGTTATTATTTATTCTTTAGCCAATTAATGAGTGGTTTTATGCAGTGCAGTGAACATAATTTATTCCCACATTCAAATAGCTTACATTAAAAGAAGCTCGTGCAGGTTGAGAAGGGAAAGCTAAAAGAAGAGAACATTTTCCAGCACTGCTTCCCAGTCCTGTTCTTTTGGTATCACTTATTCCAGAGGGTGGATGCTAAGATCTCATTGTGTTCATTTATCATATTTAAAGAAACTACACCTGTAATTTGGTGAAAAAACAACATGTGTAAGGCATATGCTGTTAGCAGTGTATCAGAAAACTGTATTAATAAATATGTACTAAATTAACAAGTGAACGGATGTACAGTAAGTTGGGGAAATGCAGGACTTACTGTAATGAATGAGTTAGTACCCTGTGTGGCAGTTGAGATGGTCATGGATATGGATGCCACATAACTGGCCTTCAACATGACCAACTCCATACATGACCCACATTCTCTTTACCTTACAGACATACAGTATAGCACCTGACAGATGAAGATACTATTTGCAAGCGTTCATTGAGAGATGATCAGGACCACATTGTATCTTTTTGTTGAAGAAGCTCTCTCAGGACTTGTCCAATTTGTTGAACCCAAACACATTGACAGAATTATATCTTTCAAATAAGCCCAAGGCTTAGCCAGCTCATGTGATTGGTACTGGTTCACATAGTTGAAAGATAACATATGTTAGGAATTTGTTAGTGAAACGAACTCTGTGCTAAGCATAATACACACAATCAGAAAAGAGTGCGAAAAATACCACTTTCAAAGAGATCATACGATAATCTGATCATTAGTACACAGCTTTCACTCGAAATTATTAGAAGGGACAAGCACGAAAATTGTACTCGTACGATAGCAGATCATACAATTTTCGTTTAATCAGTTTGCATCCAAAAATACAATACAAATACATTACATCACTTCTAAATTTTTTTATTTTGTTGTACACAAATTTTTGGAACTTTAGTAACCTCTTCACTTTCGATATGAGAGTAGCAAAAAAAAAGCGGACGATCATTTGTCCGATATTCTCATTGTGTATACGGGGTTTTACATCTATTTACTGGTGACACTTCATTGCTGAATTTATAGTTTAGATAAAATGAGTTCAAAGCAATGAGCAATTTATAACAATAAAATATCCTTGGTAGGCATATTTTGTTCTGTTATGTCCTTAAAAGGGGAGGGGAGAAGTTACTAAAAGCAAATAAGCTGTTCACTTTGCAAGGGAATTTTCTCTTTTCACGTGGTGAAAATTCACTTTCAAAGAATATCCAGTCCCATGCAAGGAATTCACTTTCATTCAACAAGCTAAGAAAAAATTCCCTTGAAACATGAAAATTCTTTTGCAAAGGTAACAGCTTGTTTTCCTTTAGTAAATATACCTCCTAGTGTTGAATATATTGATAGTGAACAAAACATTTGATTCTAAGAGCTTCTCGGTTTTGTACTTTCAATCAGCAATTCTACATTGGGCAAGTAGGTTAAAGTGATTGTAAGCCATCACCTTGTAAAACAATCCATTCAGTTTAAAATAGAAATGAAAGGCAAAACATTTGTGTACAGATATAAAAAAAATATATAAAATACAATTTTCCCTTTTTTTTATAGCGAACCAATATCAAAAGCAGAAAATTACATTTCCAGGTGCATTCTGTACACCAACAGGGTACAGAACACCTTCATGGTGCCATATTTCATTTAAGCTTCAAGAAAATTGCAGTGGCTGTAGAATGGAAGGGTCATTTTTTAATAACAATATGGATATATTAATAGTATTAATATTCATAACAGTAACAATATGGTTTAATTACAATATGGTTTGTGTAGCAATTGTATATGCTATATTGTTTTCCCACAAAACTTAAGGTACCCCTATCTGAGACAACAGTATACAATATTTTTCTCAGCATTAGGTTAAACTTCAGATTATAAGGAATAAAACATAGATTGATCTGGCAGCTAGCAACTTTTTAGTTTGAGATAGAGTAGGAAAGGTTAGAAGTTCTGTCAGCTTTTTGTTGCTGTCTGTGATTCTGTTGAAGATATTTCTTTTAATTTGAAATTTGCTGTAAACCTGATTATGTTAACGAATTGAACCCAGCTGAGCAGCGCTTATGTAATGATTATATTGCCCTTTGGTTCATTATCTATCTGTCTAATATGGGTCTATTTATAGAAACTGGACAAAGGACAATGGAAACAAAAGTGGATTCATAGCCCACAGTGACCAGTTTTATTCTTTGGGAGTGTTAAATAAGTCATCTGAATTTATTCTGTTTTGGTGTATTTAACCTCTTGCCTACAGGGCACTTATACCCCCTTCCTGCCCAGGCCAATTTTCAGCTTCCAGCGCTGCCACACTTTGAATGACAATTGTGCGGTCATGCAACACTGTACCCACATGAAATTTTTATTATTTTTTTTAGACAGATAGAGCTTTCTTTTGGTGGTATTTAATCACCTCTGGGTTTTTTAGTTTTTGCTAAACAAACCAAAGACCACTAAAAATATTTTTTTTTAGAAGTTTTTTCTTAGTTTCTGTTTTACAATTTTGTAAATAAGTTATTTTTCTCCTTCACTGATGTGCACTAATGAGGCTGCAGTGATGGGCACTGATAGGGTGCACTGATGGGCACTGATGAGGAGGCACTGGTAAGTGGCACTGTTGGGCATTGACAGGCATCACTGATGGGCACTGAAAGGCAGCACTCATATATGTCACTGATAGGCATCACTGATAGGCGGCACTGATAGGTGGCACTGACTGGCACTGATAGGTGGCACTGACTGGCACTGTTAGGTGGCACTGATAGGCAGCACTGACGGGCACTGATAGGTGGCACTGATGCGCGCTGTCAGGTGGCACTGACTGGCACTGATAGGCAGCACTGACTGGCACTGATAGGCAGCACTGATAGGTGGCACTGACTGGCATTGATAGGTGGCACTGACTGGCACTGATAGGTGGCACTGAAAGGCAGCTTAGATGGGCACTGATATGTGGCATTGATGTGACACTGATGGGCACTGGCAGGTGGCATTGATGAGCACTGACAGGTGGCATTGATGGACACTGACAGGTGGCACTGATGGGGCTACACTGATCATCAGGGCACACTGGTCATCAGTGCCCTGATGATCAATGTACATGTCCCCTCTGAGGAATGCTGATTACCAGCTCTCAGCGTGACAGCTCATGGGGAGAGAAATGCCGATAACCGGAATTTCCTTACTTACATGCGATCAGCTGTGATTGGACACAGCTGATCACATGACAGAGCTCTTTCCATTGATCAGTGATCCACTGTGTCCAAGGGACACAGTACACCACTGATTGCCGCGCTGCACGCCCCAGGAACCGCGCACGCGTGGTTAGAGTGAGAGGACATCATATGACATCCTCCCAGAATGGGAGAACTGCCTTGCACGCCTCATTTCCTTAAATGGCGGGCAGGAGGCAGTTAAGAATCAGATATAATGACCATTGTGTATACCTTCCTCACTCCCCTTCAAACTCTATCTTTATATCTCTACCAGCATGTAAGAGAAAGCTCTTGATATCTATTTGCCTTTGGGAGCTTTCTGATGATGTGACCACTGTGACAGCCAATCACGGCAGTCACACGATCAGAAAGTCTATCTCTGCATCCTGGCATCAAGAATGTCTTAAAGGGCCAGAAGGCAGCGGCGGGATGGGGTTAATATTTTTCCTTTTCCTTGTTTTTTATAAATACGGGTATATCATAATTTTCTGCACATATAGTTTGACAGGCTGTTATGAAACAGAATTCAAAGAAACCAGTCATGTTATGTTAGCTACTTAATTCTTTCATCAGATAATCAAATTTCAGGTATTCCTGTCATGAAAGTTGTTAGTGGAATCCATTAAAGAGTCATTAAGGATGAGTGATGTAATGAAATGGCTATATATGAACTAATTAAAGTTACTATTTCTGCAATGGTGTAGAAGCAGGGATCACAACTTTCCTATCTATCTGGGACCCATTAGACTTCTAGCTGATTGCTGAATTTGTTGTGCCGTCACAGGCCTGGGTCACAGTGAAATTTAAAGTGAAGTTATTATTCGCTTTCACTGAGAAAAGTAACATGCTTCCTTTACTGTAAAGAGCAATAAGGCATTTATATTTGCTTTCTGCCCACTCTACCACCATCCAAGTCTACTGCAGCCTGTTCAGTATATATTTAGTAACTCCAGGTTTTAAAGAATAAGTGACATTCTATACTTTGCGGTCTCTGCTGGAAGAATGGGCATGGCTCAAACAACAACCCTACATCATGCCCAGTGGACTAGCCAATGATGCGTCTCTTCATTTTTGAAGCATTAAAGTATATGCAACACTAAAGGAGGCCATCTTATATTGCTGTAGTTCATTAGTACAGGTGTTGCCAAGTGGACAGTTTTTGTTCTTATACCAAGAATGAATCTGTTTTTTGTCCATGCAAAGCAACAGGTTCACTTATATGCAATCCTCTACAGATGCATATACTTACCATTTTCCCCCTCTGGCCTGTTTAATGGACAGAATTGTAAGCAAAGGCTTGTGTAAGCTAAGATTTGCCAGAATTATAGGGGCACCCTACAGTGCCTTGAAAGTATTCATACCCCTTGAAGTTTTCCACATATTGTCATGTTACAAATAAAACAGACAGTTATTGTTATGGCCTGTTCTCATAGATAGAAAGGAATTTTAACTGGGAGATAGATATTTGGGGAAAAAAAGAACACATAAATGTAAAAAAAACAACTTTTAAAGAAAACACAAAAATCAACCAAGCTAAAAATATACAGTCAGGTCCATAAATATTGGGACATCGACACAATTCTAAAATTTTTAACTCTATACACCACCACAATGGATTTGAAATGAAACAAACAAGATGTGCTTTAACTGCAGACTGTCAGCTTTAATTTGAGGGTATTTACATCCAAATCAGGTGAACAGTGTAGGAATAACAACAGTTTGCATATGTGCCTTCCACTTGTTAAGGGACCAAAAGTAATGGGACAGAATAATAATCATAAATCAAACTTTCACTTTTTAATACTTGGTTGCAAATCCTTTGCAGTCAATTACAGCCTGAAGTCTGGAACGCATAGACATCACCAGACGCTGGGTTTCATCCCTGGTGATGCTCTGCCAGGCCTCTACTGCAACTGTCTTCAGTTCCTGCTTGTTCTTGGGGCATTTTCCCTTCAGTTTTGTCTTCAGCAAGTGAAATGCATGCTCAATCAGATTCAGGTCAGGTGATTGACTTGGCCATTGCATAACATTCCACTTCTTTCCTTTAAAAAACTCTTTGGTTGCTTTTGCAGTATGCTTTGGGTCATTGTCCATCTGCACTGTGAAGCGGCGTCCAATGAGTTCTGAAGCATTTGGCTGAATATGAGCAGATAATATTGCCCAAAACATTTCAGAATTCATCCAGCTGCTTTTGTCAGCAGTCACATCATCAATAAATACAAGAGAACCAGTTCCATTGGCAGCCATACATGCCCACGCCATGACACTACCACCACCATGCTTCACTGATGAGGTGGTATGCTTAGGATCATGAGCAGTTCCTTTCCTTCTCCATACTCTACTCTTCTCTTCCCATCACTCTGGTACAAGTTGATCTTCGTCTCATCTGTCCATAGGATGTTGTTCCAGAACTGTGAAGGCTTTTTTAGATGTCGTTTGGCAAACTCTAATCTGGCCTTCCTGTTTTTTGAGGCTCACCAATGGTTTACATCTTGTGGTGAACCCTCTGTATTCACTCTGGTGAAGTCTTCTCTTGATTGTTGACTTTGACACACATACACCTACCTCCTGGAGAGTGTTCTTGATCTGGCCAACTGTTGTGAAGGGTGTTTTCTTCACCAGGGAAAGAATTCTTCGGTCATCCACCACAGTTGTTTGCCGTGGTCTTCTGGTTCTTTTGGTGTTGCTGAGCTCACCGGTGCGTTCCTTCTTTTTAAGAATGTTCCAAACAGTTGTTTTGGCCACGCCTAATGTTTTTGCTATCTCTCTGATGGGTTTGTTTTGTGTTTTCAACCTAATGATGGCTTGCTTCACTGATAGTGACAGCTCTTTGGATCTCATCTTGAGAGTTGAAAGCAACAGATTCCAAATGCAAGTAGCACACTTGAAATGAACTCTGGACCTTTTATCTGCTCATTGTAATTGGGATAATGAGGGAATAACACACCTGGCCATGGAATAGCTGAGAAGCCAATTGTCCCATTACTTTTGGTCCCTTAACAAGTGGGAGGCACATATGCAAACTGTTGTAATTCCTGCACCGTTCACCTGATTTAGATGTAAATACCCTCAAATTAAAGCTGAAAGTCTGCAGTTAAAGCACATCTTGTTCGTTTCATTTCAAATCCATTGTGGTGTAGTATAGAGCCAAAAATGTTAGAATTGTGTCAATGTCCCAATATTTATGGACCTGACTGTATATTTGAAATGTGTTCAAGCAGTTGTAATGACCGTTGCTATAAAATGTTTACCAGACCTATTCTTCATGATAAGTGACTGCATTACCATTTTTTTTATTTATTTTTTTTGATGCGAGAATGCAATTAACAAATAGCTACAACATTTGGCCAGTAGGACAATACAAAATTGAAAGCATACCGTTTGTTATTAAAGTATGAGAACCAGGTATCAGTGTCTTGTCAAAGCATGGACATTAAGAAACATAAAAGATGGATGGTGGTTGGTCTAACAACTAGCAGATGATGGAATGAGGAGAGGCTTTAGCTGTTAAAGTGTAAAATATATTTTAATTTTAATTGGAGGGTAGTATATCAATTGGAGGGTCATTGGTTAACAGCCTGGTTTGAAACCATTGTGTATATTGAAAACATTGTACTATTGATTTTTGGGTATCTGTAGGCAAGGTTTGAATGAAAGATTACCAGATATCAAAGAATTTTTGGACCTGTGACTCCCAGCCAGTTATGCAATTTACATTCCTCTGCTGAAGCCAATGCATACTTACAGGTCTTATCCTCCCTTTCCTAGCCAGTGACTAACCAGTAAAAGGAGAAGGAGCAGATGTCTGTCTCTCTGTCCTCTCCTCCTATCATCATCCCCCTTGTTAGCACATGAGCAATGCAGCACAACTGAACTGCAATGCCTCAATCGGAGCTTTGCTGTACAGGGAGTAACAAGAGGCTACTGCCAGGGAAAATAGGGTAAATAAAGTTCCAATTTAGGATACGCATAGGTTACATATGCCCTATATAGTTTGTTATTCCTAATGGAATAAAATGTGATCTGATGTAGACTATAGTAATAAACTGATTAATGTAACAAAAAGAAGTACACAGTGCAACACTTCCTTGGCTTTATTAAACTAATAGTTTGGACCATCAAGATCAATGATTATACTTTATAACTAGTAGATCCTCTTTATTGCCAGCTACCCCAACCAAACACTTACTGTAGCTGCCGTTATGACTGGTGTAGCAATTGTATGCACTATATTATTTTCTTTTTATTTGCTAGTTTTTCACATGAAAATGGAGTTACCCCTTAAGTATTAATTCACAGGCACTACCCCTGACATCTTCCAGTAGAATTTCTTCTTATAAGTAGGTGGTCTGTGTTCCTTTATTGGCCCTAAGAATGCAAGCTATACACACCTTTGTTTTTCCCAAACATAATGCTGAGTACATCTAAAATAAAGTTTAACTTTTGTCTCAGATGTTTACAGAACATTGTTTTACTGCAATGTCTACCACATTTCTGGTCTTTAGTAATCCTAAGACTTACAGCAGAGTATTTTAAGAACAGCAGTTTTTTTCTTGTATACGTTTGGGGCTTAATTTGAACACAACAGTGAGCGGATTCTACTCCTGTAGTAAATCGACCAGTTTATAAATTATGAAGTGCAAGAGATGCCAACAGATTTTAGTTTTCACCCAAGATTTTTATTACCTTGGTGAGAACTGTACAGCATGTCCATGAACCTATCTTTGTAGCATGCCCACTTTAAAGCGTAATAGAATCAGAGGACTGTTACTTTTGTCTATTTTAGTTATTTTTAAATCCTATATATTCTACTTTACTTTTATTTAACTAAGTTAAAGATCCCTTTTAAGTGATGTGAACCCAGGAATGTGATTTACAGAATTGTCCTTTTGACAGATTTTCTGCTTTGTCTGTCAAAACTATCTAACACTGCATTTTATATGTCAAGCACAAGAAATTAGCTGAAGGATTCATTCCCTGTGTGCTATACTTGCAATTGATTCCAGTCAATTTGAAGTCTAACTCGTGACGGTAAAGGATCTAA